TTCTTTGGCTCTATAAAGTATCTTGACATACTGCCTGAGACCTCTGTCTTGCTATCTATTCCATTTTTTTTAAGTAAGTGAGATGCCATTTTAAAAGGCACTGAGGCATCGCAGTTAAATTACACCCACTGCATGTGCAGACAGCCATGTAGTGAGATCACTCCTACTTACTTGTTTGGCTTTAATTTATTTCTAGTTTAGGAGAGCAGTGGTGATCACCATGATATCATAAACTTGATACTTAGATTCAATACATGGAAAATCTTCCTAATAGTGTCTAATTATTACTTAATATTTTGCAGGTCAACAATTTTACTGGTAATTCAGGTATTCTACTCAAATAAAAATAAGTAATAACTTGGAACATAAGTTAATAACCTGGCATATTGACTAGCATATAGTTGCTCAATAACTGTCAATTACTCTATTTCACTGAACATGTATTGCCAGTTCCTGCATTAAAACCTCTATTTTAGCTGTTCCACTGTCCTAAATGCCCTTATTCCAGATATTAGAACAAACAACTCTTATCTTTCTAATATCAGTTTAAATATGCCTTTCTCAGAGAAATCTCTACTGATCACTGCCTCCAGAATCAACCTGTTTCAAAACACCCATTTTATTTTCTGTATTCACCAGGGCTTGATATTTTCTGGATTATTAGTTCACTTATTTCATAAGAAGATATAATTATCTTTTGTCATTTGTTTTATTCCCAGTGCCTAGAACAATTTCTGGAATATATAGGTTGTGCCTGTCTTCGTATTTCACAGAGAAGGGGACATTACCTGGTTTGAGAATTGTGGTAGCTTTAACGCCATGTACATGATATGTCCTTTGTATGTGCTAAATTAATTAATTGATGATTTTCCTTTTGCAGTTTAAGGCCTAATTGTATTAGAGTTTTAAAAGTAAAATACTTGGGAGGCCAAGGCAGGCAAATTGCCTGAGCCCAAGGCCAGCCTTGGCATTTGGTGAAACCGAATCTCTACTAAAAACAAAACAAAACAAAAATACAAAAAAATCAGCTGGGTGTTGCGGCACGTGCTGGTAGTCCCAACTACTCAGGAGGCTGAGGTGGGAGGATTCCCTGAGACCAGGAAGTCAAGGCTGTAGATCCACCAGTGGATTCCAGCCTGGGTGAAGAGTGAGACCCTGTCCCAAAAAAATAAATGAACAAATAAAACAAAATACCTCATTCTTGAGATTTGCCCAAGACAAATGAAAACTTACATTCACACACATACACATGCACACACACACACTCTCTCTCTCACACACATACACACATATTAAATGTTTTTAGAGGCTTTATTTGTAAAGTGCTGAACACTAGGAAAAAACATAAATAAACTCTGGTATTCATTCAACAGGATACTTCTCAGCAATGAAAAGGAAGAAACCACCAAAACACACAAAGATCTGGATGAATTCTAAATGAATAATTCTCTGGGAAAGAAGACAGACTCAAAAGGCTACCTACTCTGGGGTTCTGGAAAAGACAATACTATAGGAATAGAAATTAGATCAGCGGTTGCTAGGCCATGGGGATGGAATGACGTTTACAACCAAGGGCAGCATGAGAAAATTTTGGGGAGTGAGGGATCTGTTCTGTATCATGATGGTAGTAGTGGTTATGTGCCTGCATGTGCTTGTCCAAACTAATAGAACTCTACTCAAAAAAGAGTGAATATTACCTTACATAAATTATATCTCAATATTTAGAAAGTAAATAGATGCAACATTATAACTCACTATAGTTCAAAACCACTAGGCTGTGATGTAACTGCCTAACTATTCTGCTCTTTCAGCTTTGCCTTGCCTGTCCAATCTCTCCTCAAGCATCAGGCAGTGTGACACAAAGAAAACATTTTACTCCTCCAGCATCTTTCCATCTCAGTTCTCAAAATGGCCTAAAAGGCCCTCCCTGATCTGCTGCCCCACTGTTTACTGATCTCATCTCAATCACTCTTTCCTCTTGCCCTCTGCACCAGCCAGAATAGCCCCTTTGCTGACCTTCCAAGACACCAACTCAAGGAGGACTTTGCAGTTGCTGTTCTTTGTTCCTGAATATCAACATGACCTGTTCCTTCACACCCTTCCGCTCTATTTGCAAATATCATCTTATCACAGATATTTTCCAGGACTATCCTATACAAATAATACCTTCTTCCTCATATTCCATTTATTTTTGTCTACAGAAAGATGTATTTAGTTTTCTAAAATCTGTGTACCGTCATTAGAATAAGCTTTATAAAATTTGAAAATTTTTTTTATTTATTACCATTTCTCTATAGTTTAGAACACTCCTGGCACCTGCTAGGTGTTATATCTTTGTATCTCTATTCATTTATCCAACTATGTATCTATCAAATTTATAAACATATATTTATTTATTCTTGTATAATGAACTAGGTCACTAACGTAAATGTTTTGGCAGAAACTGAGTAGATGCTAATAACGACTACTTTTTCTTCCTGAGCACATAGCTAATTTTCATTTCTGGTCGCCTTGCATCTAGGGTGCATATGATTAGCTCTCATCAATGTAATGTAAATGAAAGAGATTCTTTACTGTTTGGTCTAGGCAGCTATAATCCATTTGCTTTCTGTTTGATCTCTCCCTCTTCCCTTATTCTGACATGTGGCTGACACTATATGATGTTAAATTAAAGGCATTTGCTGAAGTTGACAGAGCCACGTCATGAAAAGAATCTAAGTCCCTGAAGACTGTGTATAGCAGAGGCCTTCCCTGCCTCCTCCAGTACACAATACACTATGTAACATTAATAAGAAATAAATCTTTACGGTGTAAAGCCATCACGCCTTTGAATCATTTGGTATGGATAGTTTTACTTACGCTGACTAATATACCTGGATTTAGAATCAAAAGATGTTTCCGATCTGAGATTTGCCATATCTGACCATAATGTAGATGCTATGAATCTATTTCCAGATTTTACAGTGGGGATAGTATATGCTAACACTCTATAGGATGAAAATACTATGAACATAAAAAATAAAGTATAGAGAAATAATCTATATATTTTTAAAAGAATGGAAAACCAAACATCGCATGTTCTCACTCATAAGTGGGTGTTTAACAATGAGAACACATGAATACAGGAAGGGGAACATCACACACCAGGGCCTGTCGGCGAGTAGGGGGCTAGGGAGGGAATAGCAGGGGGTGGGGGACTAGGGGAGGGATAGCATTAGGATAAATACTTAATGTAGATGACGAGGTGATGGATGCAGCAAATCACCATGGCACATGTACACATATGTAACAAACCTGCATATTCTGTACATGTACCCCAGAACTTAGAGTATATTTAAAAAAAAAAAAAAGAAAACAAAAAACGCAAGTTCTGTAAAATGCCACTGTTTATATTTTGCAGTTTAAGTTTCTTTTTTCCCAGATAGTTCTTCACTAATTTGCATAATATTTAACATTTACTTATTTAAGTATATTCTCTGTGCCGACCGCTATGCTGAATAGGAAAGACAATTCCAACCTTTACTGTCAGTGAGTGGAGAAAACAACAATGAAATAATTAATCATGGTGTGAAAGGTACCCTCATAAGGGAGTCTACAGAGTAATGGCAATGAAAAGTAGGGGAAACTAACCAACACTTGGGTTATTAGGGGTATTTTTCCACAGGAAGAGACTTTCAGTTTTGTGAAGGAATTTATGTACTTTTTTTCCAGGTTTTCAAATCTACTCATGTATAGTTGCTCACAGTAGTCTCCAATGATTCTTTGTATTTCTGTGGTATCCTTAGTAACATCTTTTTTCTTTCTGATTTTATTTATTTGGTTCTTCTCTATATTTTATTCTTAGTTTGTCTAGCTAATGGTTTGTTCATTTTGATTATCTGTTCAGAAAACCAGCTTTGTGTTGCTGATCTTTTTTATTGCTCTTCCAGTTAAAAGCTGACAGAGACAAGGAAGGTCATTATATAAAGGGGTCAATTCAGCAAGAGAAGATAATGATGATAAATATACAGGTACTAAACATCCAAGCACCCAGATATAGAAAGCAAATATTAGATGCAAAGGGAGAGATAGATCCCAATACACTACTAATAGGAGATTTCTACACACTACTCTGGGCATTGGACAGATTGTTCAAACAGAAAATCACCAGTGAAATATCAGATTTAAATAGCACCATAGACCAAATGGACATGACACCATTTACAGAATGTTTCGTCCAAAAGCTGCAGAATGCACATTATTTTCTTCAGTGCGTAGAACATTATCTATGACTGACCATATGTTAGGACACAAAACAATCCTCAAGAAAATTAGAAAATTAAAGTCATATTCAGTGTGTGGTTGGAACACAATGAAACAAAACTAGCCAATAACAAGAAAAACATTAAAACTATGTAAGTACCTAGAAATTAAAAGACACATTCCTGAACAACCAAGGATGAAGAAAAAAGTTAAAAATAATAATAAAAATAATTTGTTGAAACAAATGAAAATAAAATCACAACATTTCAAAACCTATGGTACAGTGCAAAAGCAGTATGAAGAAGCAAGTTTATTGTAAAAAAAAATGCCTACATCGAAAAACTAGAGATATTTTAAATAAACAACTTAATGATGTACTCCAGGAACTAGAATAGCAACAACAAACCAAACCCAAAATTAGTAGAAGGAAATAAATACTAAAGATCAGGGCAGAAACCAATAAAATTGAGACCGACTCATTTTGATCACAGGGCCAAGAACATATGTTGGAGAAAAGACATTCTCTTCCATAAGTGGTGCTGGGAAAACTGCATAACCAAGGACGATTCAACATATGCAAATCAATTAATGCACATACCACCATATCAACAGAATGAAGGATAAAAATCACATGATTACGTTAACAGATGCAGAAAAATAATTGCACAAAACATCCTTTCATAATAAAAATTCTTAACGAACTACAGAGATAAACTATTTCTATGTACTATTTGACCATAAAAGGAAGGAAATCCTGGATCTGCGTAGTGGCAGTATCGTAGCCAATGAGGTTTATCGGAGGCGCGATTATTGCTAATTGAAAAAGAATGAAATCCTATCATTTGCAGCAACATGCATGGAATTGGAAGTCTTTAGGTTACATGAAATAAGGCAGTTACAGAAAGACAAATATCACCTGTTATGAGTCATATGCAGGAGCAAAAAAATCGATCTCATGGAGGTAGGGAGTAGAATGAGATGAGCTCATTCTAGAGGCTGAGGAGGATGGAGACAAAAGCGAGTTAAAGCAAAATTTGTTAATAGGGAAAAATATACTTAGAAGATTACGTTATAGTGTTCAACAGCACACTGAGGTGACTATAGTTAACTATAATTGATTACATATTTAAAAATAGCTAGAAGAGAAGCTCTTGAATATTCTTAACACAAAGAAATGACCATTATTTGAAGTGATGGATATTTTAATTATCCTGATTTGATCAATATACCTTGTATGCTTGCATCAAAATATCACATGTAGCACATAAATATGTACAACTATTTTGTATCAATAAAAATATATGTAATGGGAATTATCTTAAAGAAGGTAAACAAACAAAGGTAAACAAACAATCACCCCATATATCTGCTTAGAAACACTCCCCTGAGTCTTTTATAGGGCATGGAAATCTAAACAGCAAAATAGATATTTTGCTTAATTAAGGACAGACAGATAAAATTTCACTGGGACTGAAGCTTCAAAGATGAAACAGGTATGTAAGGAAAGAGCTCCATAAGTCTGCAAAGAAATACTCTTATATCGTTTGCTGAATACTAAGACATACAAGTATAAGGTTAGGTGGAAATTCTTTGTTTAGATAAATTCTGCATTTTTTGTTTAGTAAAATATTTGGGGTAATGGTGATTCGATCTCGAGTTGTGTCTTCTTGACCCAAAGTAGTAAGTTGAAAAGTATAAAATTTATTCACTTTTTTGGTGGTTTCCATGCTCAGCAAGTTTGTTTTCCCACTGAATCGGTGCTTTCCTTTGTTCTGGAAGAACAGAAGATTGGCCTCCAGAACTATCTTGTTTCAGCAAGTGATTAGGCATGGTATGGCTCTTTTCCATTTTAAATCCCAGTGATGATTGCTGGCAGAAGGCAAGAGTTATGCAGGCTCCCCCTCAGGTGTGCAAGCACACTGCAATTAAGGAGAGCTACTCCTAGCCACTCAGGAGGAAAAGAGACTGATCAAAGTGTCACATTATTTACTTTCAGTGTGAACTATAATTTCCTGCCCAAAATACTACGATTTATTTAGTAAAAAGAGGGTATCATCAAAATCCAGACACATATTATTCACAAATTGTGGTCTAAGGGAATGTAAACAGCATAATTATTTTCCAACAGGTAAACACATTGAGTGGCTTCTTCACATGTATCCTTATTATAAATAATTATTCCAATTAGTGTTATCCAAATACTGTGCAAGGGCTCCGGTAAAGATGCAATTTAAAGCAGTGTAAGTGAGATGATTTCTTTTATACTCAGTGAGATAAATCCAAGTCAGTCAGGGAAGGGGCACATGGCAGAGCAATACAGATGCAGGTGGCAAACCAATATGAAAATTCTATCACCAAATTATATCAACAAATAATTTGTAATTAGGTAAATAGGTGTAATTTACTGTAGGCAAATGGGTATAATTATTACCATCATCAATACTTTATATTGAGCGACAATGATCAATTACACAAGATCACTAGTTAATTTTGTTTGAAATAAATCCCAAGATGTGAGATTTCCTTGATTGTATAGTGTAGAAAATAATTATGCAGAAATGACCACAGTGTGTCTTTAATATTCACATTGTGTTACATTTTCCAAGTGACATTTAATGTCTAGTGTATCATTCTAGCTTCATAATAACTGTGTAATATTATTTAAGAGCTTATGCCCTGAAACTAGACTGCCTTGAGTTCAAATGCTGACTCTGAACATTAACCTCCATAAGCCTCAATTTTCTCAGCTATAAAGTTTGAGCTAATAAGAAGATTTACCTCTTAAGGATGTTGAAGATGAAAATCAATGAAGGACATGCAGATAGTTTAAATAACTAGAAAAAGATATTGGCTCTGGTTGCTGATGCAATCAGGAAACAAAATACATAGGATCTAGAATTCACTCTATCAACCATGCATATTGACTCGCCCATCCCAGGGGTTTGTGAGTATTTAGCAAAACTATGCCAATGAGCTACTTAACCCACTGTCTGGTGTGCAGCATTTAATGTCCAGTAGCTAAGAGGAAGAGAGAGAAGTTAGAGGAAAAGAAGGTGAAAGATACCAGCTACTATTATTAGATTAGAGGATTGTTTTTACAAATTTTTGCTGTAAAGGCCCAAAGAGTAAGTATGTTAGGTTTTGTAGGATATATATCTGTTGCAATTATTCAGATCTGTTATTACAGCTAGAAAGCAATCATAGATGATACACACATGAATGGGTGTAGCTGCGCACCTAGTAAGATTTTATTTATAATAACATGAATTGGGCTGGATTTGTCTCATGGGCCATAGTTTGGCATCTAGATCAGAGAATGAGGATTTGAAAACAGTTGTTTGCTGAAGTTCAGTATTCTTTACCGCTTCTCTCAGCTGTCTCCCTCTGACTTATTTTATTAATGGGAACAATGAGGGAATGAGACTGTATAACCCCTTATGCTGTTTTCAGAACTGGTGGTCCAAGAGTCTGTGGTATCTCAATGGATCTGAAAATGCTTGAGTGACTGTTAACCAGACAAAAAATTAAAATCCTTAAAATGAATTCTAAGCATGGTGGACATGGCTCAGACCATGATAAAACCTATTCCTTTGACACTCATTCTCTGCTAAAATTAGAACATTGTATTTGTTCAATGGGAGATATTATTACCTGGAAGCCTTCACACTTTACATTCACTGGCTTCTAGGTATCATTTGTAGGTAGAGTGTCCATATGTCCTTGTTTGCCTGTGAAAACTCTGGTTTATGCCTGACTACTAATAGCATCTTCTTTTTCTCTTCTAAAAAAATTGCAATTTTCATGAAAAAATTTGTGATTACTAACAGAACGTGAAACTGAATTCTGTAGATTTCTATTTCTCTTTGGAAGCTGCAAAATTTCTACAGAAAGGACAGAGAAGACACATCTAGAGGAACACTTCCCATCTGAGATTCGCTCTATTTTAGTAAAAATGTATTGAGTATCTAATGTATATCATGTACTGTGAAAGACACAAAATAAAATATGTTCTCAGACGTTTTCATTTTAGTTTTGAAGACAGGTTGTGAAGGTTACATAATCTAAATCTTCATGTGAAATCTTTAATTAGCACAGGTCTAAGTCTGTCTGTTTCACATATTTTCTCTGTTATTTATGTATTCCACATGAGTCAAAGCCACACAAGAGCAAATGCAGCGTACGCCCTTTTACCACTGTCACTAGCATCTGTTCATGCTTGCTCTCTACTAATTGAGGCCTAAGTAAATACCCTGAAATAAATGTTAGCCTTAGTCAAAAGTTTCCTCATTAAGCATTGATTTCTGTTATTCCTATATTGCACCGAGAAAGGGAGGTGAATTATTGTACAGAATTTGAAAGACTTGTATGAGTAGCTGTAAATACTTCTCTTCATACTCTATACTTATTGTTTACTGAGAGCTTACTACATTCCAGGTTCCAGATTAGACTCTGATAGACTACATAACTCTTAATCCTCACAATCGCCCTATGAGGTAGGAGCTATTATTTTTCTATATTTTAAGAATAATAAAGTTAAAGCTCAAAGCATTTAGAAAATTTATGTGAGGTAACATAGCTAGTGAGTCATTGAGAAGGGATTTCAACTCCCATTTGATTCCTAGGAAGATTGAAAATATTATGTTAGGCATAGTACAATTTATAAAAACTTAATGATGGCATTGACTAAACTCCTTGATTTAATGCTACTAGTGTCACTTCTACAAATATCGCATGGATTATATTTATCCTAAAAGTGATTTGTTGTTTATCTAAAATTCAAATGTAACTAGGTATGCTATATCTTTATTTGCTAAATCTGGCAACACTATCTGTTACTCATTCCGTGTAGGATATTAAACTAGAAAAACATGAAGAAGCCCCAGCACAGTTTCCAACTCTGTTGTTCTACATCACATCGTCAATTTCATAGTTATAGGTATATCTGGACAAAGAACATATTCCCAGTGCAGTTCCAAAAAACAGACAATGAACGCATTGTTTATCTTTTATTCAACTCTCGTGGTGTAGATGATTTTGTCAACCAGAAATTGAATACCCAAATGTCCCTCGAGCAATCAATATATCAAGTGTTGTTTCCCCACTGCTCAAGTGAATACCTGAGTATAACCCCTCTAGATTTCCTTTTGTGGGGGATAAGATGCAGGAGAGTTCAGCTGTAAAAATGAGCCGCATGTAAATTACAGCCATAGCCACAAGCAGGTAGGAAGAGTACCATCAAGGAGCCTAATATATGCTGCTACTGTGAAGCCTACAAAGAAAGCCTAATTCCTAACTCAAAAATCCTGCCATCTTCTTCCAGAGAAATTAAAATAATTGCATACAAAACTTCTTACATAGAGAATGTTTGCCACGTTTTTGGCCCCTAGGCTTCTAATTCCAACTTTCTAAAAGTACACCAAATTTCCTTTGTAAAATTACCCTTCATTTTAAACCAGATTTGTTTAAATCAATGATGGTAAAACTACTGACATCGTTCCAGCTAAATCATTTGCTCAAGGACAGACTTATGCTACAATCTGAACCAATGAGATGGAAAGAGATATTTATTTCCAGAGAGAAAAGCATCTACTTTATTCTATGAAAGCAATAATAAGAAATGTTTCCTCTGGAAACGTTTCCTTCAAGATTCACCAGTCTCTAGATGCTTTGCTTCATGAGCCAATAAATCATGTTTGCAGGTGAAGGCAGTTTGATATGGATTATACTTTGTTACTTGCAATACAAAGAAACTTAAAATTGACAGATATACCCGTGTGTATTTATATGTATTTCAGATTGCACCCACCCCAGAAAAAAATGTGAAGTCTTATCAAAATATACTAAATACAAAAATGGAACACAGATTAGACTGTGTGATAAAGAAAAGTGTGG